GATACTTATTCACCTGTGGCTAGACTGACCACCATTCGAGTATTACTCTCGTTGTCGGCCTCACATGGTCTTCTCGTCCATCAGATGGATGTTAAGACGGCTTTTCTAAATGGAGAGCTAAAGGAGGAAATCTACATGCAACAGCCTGATGGCTTTGTGATAGATGGTCAGAAAAGAAAGGTGTGTAGGTTGATAAAATCTTTATATGGCCTGAAACAAGCACCTAAGCAATGGCATGATAAGTTTAATACAACTCTGACATCTGTTGGTTTCGTTGTTAATGAGGCTGACAAATGTGTATACTATCGCCATGGTGGGGGCGAAGGAGTTATACTGTGCTTGTATGTTGATGACATACTGATATTCGGAACAAACCTCAAAGTCATTGAGGAGGTCAAATCGTTTCTATCTCAGAACTTTGAGATGAAAGACCTTGGTGTGGCTGATGTTATCTTGAACATCAAGCTACTGAGAGATAATGAGGGTGGGATCACACTTCTGCAATCCCATTACGTTGAGAAGGTGTTGAGTCGTTTTGGATATTCGGACTGCACACCATCTCAAACACCATATGATCCTAGCGTACTGATTCGAAAGTCCAAAGGCATGGCTAAAGATCAATTGAGATACTCTCAAATCATTGGTTCACTGATGTACCTAGCGAGCGCAACGAGGCCTGACATCGCGTTTGCTGTGAGCAAACTGAGCCGGTTTGTTTCCAAACCGGGTGATGTACATTGGCATGCTGTTGAGAGAGTTATGCGCTATCTGAAAGGTACTATGAACTATGGACTTCACTATACCGGATACCCGTCGGTACTTGAAGGGTATAGTGATGCGAATTGGATCTCTGATGCTGATGAGATGAAGGCCACAACTGGGTATATGTTTACTCTTGGAGGTGGCGCTGTTTCCTGGAAGTCTTGCAAGCAAACAATCTTAACGAGATCGACAATGGAAGCAGAATTAACGACATTAGACACATCTGGTGTTGAAGCGAGATGGCTTCGAGATCTTTTGATGGACTTGCCATTGGTTGATAAACCGGTTCCGGCTATCCTTATGAACTGTGACAATCAGACTGTCATCACCAAGGTGAAGAGTTCAAAGGACAACATGAAGTCCACCAAACACATAAGAATGAGATTAAAAGCTGTCAGAAAATTAAGAAACTCCGGAGTGATAGCGTTGGACTATGTCCATACGGCTAAGAATCTGGCAGATCCCTTTACAAAAGGGCTATCACGTGTTGTGATAGATAATGCATCGAGGGAGATGGGTATGAGACCCACATGAGTTGCCATGGTGGTAACCCAACCTATATGATCGGAGATCCCGTGAACTAGGACCTGGGAAAACAAGCCAGTGGTGAACTGAGGAGAGTAACTATACTAGTCCACTCCGTTGGAGATGCAATACTCTCGATACTGTATGGTAGGATGACTACGGTCTCAATGTGTTCCAAAGCTTATAAAAGCAAGATGCTATCCTACAGAGCGATCTTTGGAGGAACACACCTATATGAGCCCGACTGCTGGTCACAGTCTATGAGATTGGGGTGATCTCTAGTAAGCTCATGAATAGGCCAGGAGTGTGACTTATATGCTCCACCCGAGGGGTCAGCCTTCGGCAGCCTAGTACTAGTAAGACATGTAGTGAAACTTCTTTACGCCAAACTGACAATTCAAGGCATAGTCCATTGTTCAGTTGTGAAGGAGTGTAGCCACTTGTTCTAGGTGAAGTTCAACCTTAACAGGTCTTTACTGAAACACTGGTATATCGAAACAGCAATTGGAACAGAGGACACAATGGGCCCTCGAGATCTGGTGGGGGATTGCTGAAATCTGAGATGGGCTCTAGGCCCATATTGCAATTTCTGAAAAATCTGTAAGGGCCCATGTGGGTTATATGGCACTAGGTGTGGTGGGAAGTTTAGTCCCACCCCGGAAGTGGAAGGAGAGTTGGAGTGGTTTATAAGGGTTTCTCTTCTACATGCTATTGGAGCTTGAGAAGAGAAGAGGCCCTCGCGCACTCCTCCTCCGCCGCCCGCCTCGCCACGCCACGCCTCGTCACGACGCGCCGCGGGTTGCGGGATTGAGCCGAGCCGAGCTCACACCTACGCGCTTATTTTTGCCAGTCACTAACGGAGAGTTTTCTGACAGCTGGGCCACGATCTGAGACGTCGGATCGTGGGCTGTCACGGACTCGGACGTGGGTCGAGCCCACGTCTCTCCACGCGGCTGCGCCTATAAGTATGCGGTGTCTCCTAACCCTAGCTGCCACGAACAGATCACATCTGCTCACGCGCACGCCCACCGTCGTTCCTTTGCTGCTGCTGCCGCCGGTGACTCCATCCCGTCCGCCACGTACACGGTCGACGGGAGAGCAGGTCTCCGAAACCACGCCCTTCTGGTTCCTGTACGGGGTGAGGGGCGAATAGGTTTTTGGGCAGTGATTACGCGACTGCTCGCTTCCGATCGTCTACTTCCTCCACGTCCGCGTCGCCTTCGTCATCACCATGTCCACCGACGCCGACCGTGCCGCCGCCGAGAAAGCTGAAGCCGACAAGAAGGTCGCTGAGGACGCCGCTGCTGCCACCAAAGCCGCGGCCTCTGCGTGGCCTACTGGAGGGTATAACTCGTTTATCCCGCTCCTGATTATTTTCATATTAGCAGTACTAGCAGTATGTGTAGATTTGTCTACTGTTTGCTTAGTACGTGCATGTTTAGATCAGAGTCAGTTCGTCATCAACTTAGTCAATGCCATGCTAGTGATTTACTCATGGATTAATTTAATCGAGAAATTGCCTATTTACTCAACATAGTCAATGTAGCTATTGAAATGTTCAATCCATACCAGTAGGATAAAGCACAACACAGAAACACCTTATTGCGTGATCCAGGAAGATATATCAGTGATTATGCTTCGAGGCTAGTCATAAGCTACAACAATGCAAGCAAACCCTGCATCTTCTTATACCCCTACCTAATTGCTCCAATCCCAACAAACTCCAATTCAAAACAAATTAACACACACATAAGAGTTGCATCCTCTAGGAACGGTAGGAATCGAAAATGGGGACACCTTACGGCTCTGGATCACTCGAGCGCAACGGCAGCTCCGGCGGCCTTGAGCTTGGCGGCGAGCGCCTCGGCCTCCTCCTTGGGCAGGCCCGCGCGCACCACGACCGGCGCCTTCTCCACCAGCTCCTTGGCCTCCTTGAGCCCCAGGTCCGTCATCGCGCGCACCTCCTTGATGATCTTGATCTTGGCCGCCGCGTCGTACTTCTCGATCTTGACGTCGAACGCCGTCTTCACCGCCGCGGCCTCCTCGGCCCCCGCCGACCCGGAGGCCGCGTCCCCGGCCGCGCCAGGACCTAATCCGGCAGCTGGGTTGGAGGTGAGCGAGAGGCGTAGCTTGAGGCGCATGAGGGCCGAGTAGTCATCCAGCTCGGCCGAGGAGAGCGCCAGGAGCTCGTCCGCTATGCGCGACAGCTTCGGGTCCTCGCCGCCGGCGGTCGCCGCCGCCGTGGAGAGGCGGCGGAGGCGGTGGATCAGCGGTGCGAATTTGGAGGAGAAGAGTGGCATTTTCGTAAAATTCGGGAATCGCGGGGTGGGCGGTAGGGTTTTGCCTCTTCCACGAGAGCATTATAGATAGATCAGGAAAACGGAAACCAATAGTTCGCCCACTCACAGGGAAAGCGTATTTTTTTAAAGGATATGAGAGGCGTTTTCACCCATTCGCAGCCCCACCTGTCAGCGACCATCGACCACCAGCTGGCCGCTGCTCTTCCCGGATAGCAACTGCCCATATGACCCCACCAAGGAGGCACTCTGCAGCGCCAACACCACGACATTCTCTTCTCTCTGGCCGCGGCGCGGCGGGGCGAAAGCAAAACCCTCGTCGGAATCGACGCCGCGGCGGCCGTCGGGTAGAATCACGGGTCCCGATCATGCGAAACTCGATTCCGCACTCCCGCCTCCTCCTCCTCCTCCTCCTCCTCCCATGGAGTCATAGTTTAGATTCTCCCGCCCGCTCCTTTCTGCTGCGATTTTTTTGGGGCTTTTTTGCGAGGTTTTCGGCGCTCCCTTTTTTTGGGGGGTTGTTTCCTTCCGGGGGGCGCGCGGTCTCCGCGGGTCCGCGGCGGCCGGTCCGTGCAGTCGCCGTCCCGTCGCGTGCTTTGCGAAATTCCAGTAGGGTTTTGTGGCTTGGGGTTTTGATCTGGTGCGCCTGCATGCCTGCAGGTTTCTGAATTTCGAGGCTCGCTGAAGGGTGCTCTGGGGCCGGCACCGTTTGGGGATCTCGCTGCGCGGCCGTCGCTAGGTGAGCTCATCACGCCCGTCCACGCCTCCTAGGGTTTTGATGCGCCCGTGCGATTTGGACATTGTGCAGATAGTTAGGCATTAACACGCTGGATTTGAGGGGGGGTTTATGAAGGGTTTAGTCGTAGGTCTGCTTTGTGAGAGGAGATTATGGTGGCCATTGTCGTTTTTCTGTTCGGGTGTTTCTTGTGGCTTCGGTATGCTCTGGAATAAATTATGTGGTTTCGGTATGCCGTTTGTGTGCATGAATGGCCCATGTAATTTTGTTTTATGGTGCATGAATGGTCTATCCTATCCAGAATTTTCAGTTTGAGGACTGCAATTGACAGTTTTTCACACTTACGAGATATTACACAGATGCACAGTGCACATGGAGCATTTCACTTGACTATAATTTTACCCACCAATCGTCTGGTAGCTATATCTCTCTGAAGAATATTTTTGTTTAGCATGTAAATTGCTACTCTATCAGAGTTCCTACTCCCTACAATGCAAGAACATATGCATTCATGTCTTCTGACAGTTTGCATTATTTGGTAACTGCAACTTAAGAAGTAAGCAGTTTTGCTTACTTCATAAATTGAAATTTGTTAACATTTTTGTTTCATTATTCTGGTAAAAAATTCATGTTTAATGCTTTAGCTGATTTCATGAGACTGCAGGATTTTTCCAGCCACAATGTCGACGTATCCTGTGCTGAATGATCAGCCAATTGATCAGTGGAACTTCACGGAACTGAAGGATGAGCTCTCTAGGAGGAACTTACCTACCGATGGCTTGAAGGATGATCTTGTGAAAAGGCTCTTTGAGGAACTTCAGGGTGATATATTTGGTGGAGACGGGCCAGTTGGTGGATCTCCTCCCGATGATGATCTCAAAGAGGACGAAGCCCCTGGTTCGGCTGATGCATCTGTTTGCCAGGCTGCGGTGGAACAAAATGTTGATGAAGGTCCTTCTCAGGTCGCAACCCTGGAAGGATATCCTGTTGGTTCTGTTACAGAGGCTAGTGAGGAAAGTGCCGATGCTACTACAGAGGTTATTCAGGATGCTGTAGTTAGTACCGAAGAAGTTAGTCAGACAACTCTTGTTGCGGAGGCTAGTGAGAAAAATGCCGATGCTACTACAGAGGTTATTCAGGATGCTGTAGTTAGTACCGAAGAAGTTAGTCAGACAACTCTTGTTGCGGAGGTTAGTGAGAAAAGTGCCGATGCTACTACAGAAGTCAGTCAGGATGCTGTAGTTAGTACCGAAGAAGTTAGTCAGACAACTCTTGTTGCAGAGGCTAGTGAGAAAAGTGCCGATGCTACTACAGAAGTTAGTCAGGATGCTGTAGTTAGTAACGAAGAAGTTAGTCAGACAACTCTTGTTGCTGCTATTGAAGTTAGTGATGCTCCTCTTGTTGATATGGCAAAAGCTGATGAAATTTCTCCAAGTGGCGCAGTGGCAGCCAACGGAGATCACCTAGAATCAGCTCCAAGTGGCAGTAATGTAGTGAAGGAAGCATCTCCACAAGCTGATCGCCATAGTGAGATTATTGCAGAGAAGACTCCAGAAGAAGGCACCATCAAGAAAGTGATTGCTAATTATCTACCATGTGATGTTGCCAGTACTGATGTCAAGTTGGATGCAACTTCTGCTAAAGACAAGTTAGATGCTGATATTGTAGAGCAAGATGCAGTATCATCACTACCTGATGCTAGTGCGTCACATGTTGATCCATTGGATGTTGATGCTGTTGCAGCTGCACCAGGACAAAATGCTGAGACTCTGATTCCTGTGATAGATTTGAGTGATAATGCTTTGATGAATGGCAAGGACCTCGAAGATTCTGGGCGCACAAACAGTACCTGCAAACCAACCGTGGCAGGGACAAAAGACCAGGTAACTGAGGCCAATCCTGTTCCAGGTTCTCAAATCAAGTGTGTTCTGATTCCGCATGACAATATATCAACTAATGTAAAAGGTGACCTGAATGCTGACAATTCTGATTTGGAAATAGAGGTTAAGAGGGATATGGTCAAACCACCATGCAACATTCCCTCCATAGGTGATGATTTGCAGGCATTGGACGATGACAAAGAGTTGTCTAAGAATGGGACCCCATTGCAAGAAATCGAATCTAAAACCAATATGATCTTGGACAAGAAAGAGGACAGTCCTGATGGCGCTTTTCCTGAAAAACTAAATTTAGACAGGAGCTCGATGGAGGAGGATGTGATGGAAAGTAAGCATGTCGATACCATTATCAGATCTGATGATCTTGGAGGAAAGACTGCGGTTACCTCAGACCATGAAGAGGTAAAAGAGGTGATCCTCTTTAATACTGTTGCCAATGATTCATCTGTGGAGACAATGGATATTGTTCATGAAGAGAAGCTAGTAACTTCATCTGAAAAGAGGAAACTTGGAGGTTTGTCTTCATACCCCTACGCATACAGTGTTGGATCATTTCCTGTATACCTTTCCTATATGAATATCTTGAGCGTTTTTGTTTTCTATTAAAGTACTCCCTCCGTTCCAAATTACTCGTCGATGAAATGGATGTATTTAGAACTAAAATACATCTAGATACATCCATACGTGCGACAAGTAATTCGGAACGGAGGGAGTATATCTTTTTCTGTGACATTTTTTTATGTATCAGTAGTGTGTGCATGTGTAAAGTTCATTGTCTGCATTGCGTAATCTTTGTCATTGTGGATTTTCTGTCTTTGGTAAATCTTGCATGAAACAGTTGCACCTCATATATTCTGCTCTTGTACGGTTTTGGGAAATAGGACAATTTTTTTGCAGTCCTTTAGTAAGATTTGTGGCCTTTGTTTCACATTGTACATTCCTCAAATAAATTTGATAACAATTTGTCAATGGTTTAAATGGAGAAATCATGTCATGTTTTTGTTCTAACTCACTGTTAAATGCAGACCAAGAAGTTGCTGCGGATGACCCCATCAAACGTCAGCGCCATGTGGATACTCCCAAAATTCTTAAGCAACAAACATCAAAACTAAGTAGCTCTGATTCTCCAAAGGTTGTGGTTCGGCCTGCTCTAAAACATTCTGTTGGCAGGTCTGATTCAACAGCAAGTGGAGGTTCTCACAAAGAGCAGATAGGTGAGGTTTCTCGGCTCTTTTAGTAAAGTAGATTCACTAGTGTACTGTACATCATATCTAATTTTTTTCCCTTCTGTATTCATCGTTCAGTGCCACTTCCTCAGAAGCCTGCAACAACTTCCTTGAGAGTTGATCGATTTGTGCGCCCATTTACTTTGAAAGCTGTGCAAGAGCTTCTTGGTAGAACTGGATCTGTTTGCAGCTTCTGGATGGATGATATCAAGACCCACTGCTATGTTACAGTATGTCGCTAACTTCATTGTCTTATTTTGCCTGTGCAGAATATTGTTAGAGGTGCATTTCAGCATTTGTTTGCGCCTTCTATGGCCTTTTCAGGCCTTCCCAAGTTTTGCCTTTCATGTGTTACAGCTAAAATTTGCTAAATGATAACAACAACAGTTTGTGCTTTAGCCTGTGGCTGCTAATAAATATTCTGGTGCTTTTTTACGTGGCCCTGGTAGGGATTAATTTTTGGCTAGGTATTCCTCTGTATGAAGGATGCAAACCTGAGATGTTAGCATTGTCGTGCCTTATTGTTGGTTCAAAGAATCTCGTGATGCATTACTTGTTTTACTGCTATTTCAAATTTGATAATGTCATGGTGTTGACTTGCCTGCTTGTCCTATTTCTGATCCACAGTACTCTTCAGTGGATGAAGCTGTGGCTACCAGGAATGCTGTTTACAGCCTCCAATGGCCCCTAAACAATGGCAGTTACTTAGCTGCCGAATTTGTTGATCCACTTGAGGTGAAGCTCAAAATCGAACACCCTCCCCCACCGCCACCGCCTACCACCCTCAGCAAGGATACAACTCCAAATGCAGTAGCCTTCCAACAAGCGGAAGCTAACCAAACCATGCTTCCCCATGGCGCTGGTACCGCATGGGGTCTGTCACCTACTCCACAGCCTCATACAAAGTCATATCCCACATCTAACCCCAGGCCGGAAAGGGAGGTGCTTCCACCTCCTCCAAAGCAACCGGAAACAACTATCAAGACACTTGATGATCTCTTCAGGAGGACACAGGCGTCTCCGATGATCTACTACTTGCCCTTATCGGAGGAGGAGGTGTCAGCCAAGCTCGCAGCACGCCGCAGGCGAAATTGGAGACGGTAGGGGTCTCAAACCTCCTGCTCGCGCCTGGTATGTTGGTGCCTTGTTCATCTCTTGTTCAGGCAAAACCAGCGTGGCCAGCAGATTCTCTTCCCAATGTCCGACCGTTGGTGTTGCAGCAGTTAACATGAAGGCTGTGGTTACTGCTTGTAATGGTAGGTGATATTTTGCCAAGCTTTGCACGGTCTTGGCCTTGAACTCTTGATAACTGAGCAGTCCTATTGTAAATTGAGCTAGCTATATTTTCGCTTGTCTGCCTAGCTGTTAACATGCACATGCGGATTTCGATCACCGACTCAGTCATCCTTTGGATCAGTTGGGCAATGTGCTGCGTGTATGTTGATGAACCCTTGATGCTTATGAGTCCTGCTGGTTCCTCTTGTTGCGGTATCAAGTCAGCATTTCTCATGTAATCGTTAGTTTCAGTCCTATATGGTTCTGAAATTTCTTTTCGAGGGAACTTGGTCTCTTTATTAACTACTCCCTCCGGAGGGAGTAATGCTCAAATGTGCAATGGCAGTGTCCCACGGCTGTAATAGCCTAGTAGCCACGCATATCGACCACGATCCAGGGATATGACTACTGTAGCACAAAGGATGTGTATCCCTCCTTTTCGGTTTATAAGGCTTATCTCAAAATTTTAGTTTTTCCATTTTATCTAGATATATGTTGTCATTGGACTAGTGTTTAGGGAAAGGAGAACATGCTCGTTACCGTTGTACAAGCACCGCGGATGGAGCACTCCCACAGCGCCACGCCGCGACCACGCGCCGCCTCCTGCTCGTCGTCGCCCCACACGCCAACACCAGCATGAGCCGACCAGGGGTGACAAACACATGGGGCAGGTACCCTGCTGCCGCACGGGCTTTGTCCCGACGGTGGCAAGGAGGAGGTGGTTTCCCGGTGTAGGCTAGGGTTCTCCACCCTTATCGCTTGTGCAGCGAAACAGAGCCGATCAATTTTAGCAAGTCAGATTGATGAACGTCTTCTAGAAAAAAAGATTGATGAACGTCTTTTAGGTGATTTACCAACTTCATCACAAGTGAATTTGCAGTCTGCAAAAGGGATTGTCCTCTCACTCAAAAAGCAAATCTGTTATTTCAGTGGCAAAAACTTCACGAGTCATGTCGGGCCAAGAAAAGTACTCTTTCACGGGCCACGGCCCAATAATAGTTGTAACAGGAAAAGGCTTTGTCCTCTTCGCCGACTCTTTCTCTGTACACCCACGCAAGTTAGCTCTCTCCCCTCTCTTCTCCACCCCGCATCCCCTTCCCCACGCACGCAAACGGCTTACCCCCGCCACGACCTCGCCGTCGCCGCCACCGCCACCGCGCACCGGGCAACCAGGAATCCGCGACCGCCGCCCTTCGAATCGCCGCGAGATGATGACCTCCCGGCGGGCCAGCGGCGGCAGCACCAGCAGCAGCTGCGCGCTCTGCGAGGGATCCAACCTCCCCTCCTGCTGCGCCGCGTGCGTCAACACGAGGTACGCCCCTCCGCCCCGCCGTCCGTCCATCCCCGATTCGATCGAAGCTCTGCCTCTCCCCGGCCTGACCCTCGCCCGCCCCCCGTCTCCGCGTCGGAATTTTGTGTGTCTCTGCGCAGGCTGTTCGAGTACCACGCGACGCTGCGCCTGAGGAGGAACCTCCGCGACACCCTCCAGTCCCGCATCGCCGCGCGCCTCGAGTCCAAGGTTGGTCCGTCGCTCTCGCTGTGCCCGACTCGCCAGTCCTCCAATTCAGTGCTAACTAGTTTGGGTTTCCGTCTCTCAGTCTGGCAATTTCCATGTGTTTGTGCCTCGGGCCTGGAATCTATTGCCCGGCACATACCTGACCCTAGAGTGATTTGTAGCTCACATTTTATCATGTTACAATTGGTGTTGGAGAACGGTACAGAAATATTATATGTTTGGAACGAAAAGTTGTACAGACAGAGTATAACTTTGGCCTGTTTCGTCTATTTCTGGCAGAGGAAAGCGGAGGAGCAGAGGATGTGGAAACTGAGCAAAGCTCACGACATCAAGGAGCTGAGGGATCGGCTCAGCGAGTTAAAGAGTCGAACTGCGCTAGGTTAATCTCTTTTACTCTTGCGGATTGTATCTTGTTACCAGTTGCCAGTTTGCGGTACTGAGTTGTGGTAATTAATGTGTTTGCAGAGAAGATGAAGGTCAAGCAGGCATCAAGTGATCTCAAGGTGAAAAGTGGTACATTGAATGTGGCTTTTATCACGGTAAAATTATTTCTTTCTCAGTGTTTCTCTTTGATGAAATGTGAAATTCACCACTTCCTTCGATCCATATTACTTGTCGCTCAAACGGATGTATCTAGACGTATTTCAGTGCTAGATGCCTCCGTTTGAGCGACAAGTAATATGGATCGGAGGGAGTACTAAGAAAGTACTGACCCTGAATGTATCTTTTACACCATCTTCAGCTAAAAACGAAGCAAACCGATTCATCAATGATGCACACCAACGCCATGAAAGCAGCACAGATGGGTCTTGTAAGTCCTAACATGCCTCTTCATTTCTTACTCATTATCCAATATCCATAATTTATGTGATTATTATGTCTGTCTGTTCTGCTATTCTCTGTAATTGAAATATTTGCACTTTTGTGGCAGATGGCAACAACCTCCGAACGTCTCAAACGGCAGTCCAAAGCTGTAAAGCAGCTTTGCAGGTTGTTCCCAATGAGGCGAGTAAGTATTACGGTCTTGGCTATTTTACTGACTTTGTGTTTTCTTCCTGTATATGTATATTTTGAGATCGCTGCTGAGAACTTCAGTTGCATTCAACTTTGCTCATATTTAGAACATGTAACTGTAACTAATTTACTTCTACAGATTTCACACAGCAGCTTTATATGTTAATAATTTAATTGTTGCATATTCACCTACTAAATTTTTTCACATAAAAATGATTAATTTAATATTAATGCCACCTGAGTTACCATGCATAGACACAGATTTATATACATTTTTTTCTTTCAATTTTTAGGCTATTATAGATGGAGAAAAGAAGGATGGACACAGTGATCCGTACGATGTTATATGTGGTATTCGTCTACCTCGTGGTCTCGATCCACATTCAGTTCCATCAGAGGAGTTATCAGCTTCCTTGGGGTATACTTCTTTCCTCAAACTACTACTTATTTGTTGTTCTGATATTTAGTCTCCAAATTCACCTATTTACCTAGCTGTAACACTGCTCTTGATTACCAGAATGATTAAATGAATGTCCATTATTTTACGATTCATGGTCCTAAGTAAATTGCACCCTCCGATTCTGTCTAATCTTGTAAATACCTTATATAAGATTGTTCATTTCTAAAAAAAATCAGAATTTATGTAAGTAAAAAAATCAGGGCAATATAGTTACATATGGAGTCTAACAGTTGAGTTGTGACCAACAAGACTATCATGTTTTGTTATTGCAATATTGTTTTATTGGGCCAGATAGATTGTTTGAGAACGGTCTGCAAATAATACCATGTGCATTTGGTTCTGAATGTTGGGTAGCATAATTTTCTTATTGTGACAGGTACATGTTGCAAGTCCTCAGCATTGCAATTCATATCCTATCGGCACCAGCCCTTCATGTAGCCGGTTTTGGGGTAAGATTCAACTATGTGCCCTTAATCTATTGTCATAAGCTTGCTCTTGAAGTTAGCATGCTACATCTGAAGATCCAATCATTCAATCCTGGCGGTCAAACAATATAAACTTCTATGTAGTACTCCCTCCACCCCGAATTACTTGTCGCAGAAATGCATGTATCTAGATGTATTTTTAGTTCTAGATACATCCATTTCTGCGACAAGTAATTCAAGATGGAGGGAGTATGAATAATAATGTCATTCTTGACCTGTAAATGTAGTTATTTTGTCGAGAATATCTCTGTGGATATAACTTGTCTAAGCTTAGCGTAGAACCTTATACATAGTCAGCGTCGGTCCTTCATGTGTCATTTGTATGCAAAGTATGTACATATTCTGTAAGATAAGCTTGATTGGATTTCTAATAGCATGAGTAGCAGCATGAGCTTTCTATTGGTTTTCCAGTAACTTTGTGCGGCTAATATATTATATATGTTTTGTACTAGGCTTCCTGTTCCCGTGTATGGCAGCGGAGTAGCTATTGGAGCACACGACAATCCCAGAGGTATACTCTCAAGGAAAAGGCCACATATCTCTGTCTCGTTAACATTTAAATTTTTTATTGACGTGAAATTGTTTTTGTTTTTTCCAGCAAGGTTTACCCACTTTTTGTGCCCAGGCAAAATAATTGCTCTGTTGGCGAGGAAAATTCATGGACAGAAAGTGGTTCGGGTAACTTTGGTGTTGATTCTGTGGACTCGGATCAGAAATCCCTTTTTGACTCCAAGAGAAGCAATAGCTTCAACTTCTCAGCCGCATCTTCTCACTCCATTGAGAGGCATCAAGACTTGCAAAGAGGGATATCTTTACTAAAAACAAGTGTGTCTGCCATCACTGCCTACTACTATAACTCATTGGGCTTGGATGTGCCGCCCAATCTTTCTACTTTCGATGCATTTGCAAAGATGCTCCATATGTTATCATCTTCAAAGACCCTTCGAGCTGCTCTTGAATCAAATATCGCCTCAAGGTACAATTTATATTGTTCTTAGAGAATGGCAAGCGTATTCTGGTTCTCAACAGCGCGTACTATCTTCCATAACCTGCTCAAATTTGCAAATTATATTCTCGTATCTTTCTTACAACTGCTGGGAATGTACATCTAAAGATGTCGTAGCACTATTTGCATATAAAAGCCTGTTTAAAGGGGGCACATTGAGTAAAAAATGGTTAAATGATCCTTACATTCTGTTTGCAGATCAGAAAAGCAGGCACAACAGCTAAACAGATCAATATGGAAGGCGAGTTCGGCCATCTCATCCAACAGCAGCATGTTGGACAGCACGCACACAGCTATCATGGTAAACTCCCGCTTAGTTCTTTTTTGCTTGCATGGGATCTACTTTCA